GCAAAAACTAAGAAGCTTATAAACATCAGGTTTAAAACTAAAAGAGCTTTGAAACACAATGAAAGATGTTAGGAATTTTATTTGAGTTATTAATTTAAACTTTTTGTCTAAGAGATGCTGATTTGAAACCGTTGTTACATACAGTTACGGCATTTCCTGTTTCTGCCGGAGAGAGGGGAGGCCGTCCCAAAGCTTGCTGCTGTATTTACTCCCTCCATCTGACAGGAGGGAGCCTCGTTGAGCTGCGAGTGTGGCTACAGACGGAGTTCACTCCGTCGAGGGAGTGGTTTGGGAATTGGGCCGATATCTCCGGCGGTAGAGAAGACCCTCTCCAGTGTGGTTAATGTTTGCCGCCATTCTCCTGAACCGCTTCGCACTCACTGCGAGAAGAAGACACCGGCGTCTGTGTATCTAGAAATGCTCTACAGCGACACTAGCGGCTCGGCTGGCTGACGTAATCGCTCTTCATGCAAAGCGAACGGGGGGGATGGGCAGCGAGCAGAGTGCCAGGCGGAACATGGGGGATTTGAATGGGAGTTAATGTATCGATACCCGCGGCTGAAATATCGATACTTTCTCGGGAAACAAAATATCGATATATATATCGCAGGATCGATTAAATTGCACAGCCCTACTGTAGACCCCTGTTTCTTTCTGACCCTGCACCTCACCCTGTTACCTAGCATCCCCTCATATATATCTATATATATATTTAAAGTCTTGAGAGTAACCATAGTAGTTGTCCAATGTCAGATATAATCAGCGAGTATGATAACAGATGATTTCCTTTCTCTTTACAGATCTCTTTCTCCAGCTTGAGGTGAGTAGTATTCATCACGCTGACCAACTGATGTTGTTTAAACTTAACTGACCTTTACTTTGTTGGCATTACAAAGAAAATATCCCTGCTTTTTCCATCATGCCCTTCTCTCAACCTTCTGCAGACAGAGCAGGTGGAGAGGAACTACATCAAGGAGAAGAAAGCAGCGGTGAAGGAGTTTGACGATAAAAAAGTGGAACTGAAGGAAAACCTAATTGCAGAGTTGGAGGAGAAGAAAAAGATGATCGAGAATGAAAAATTAACAATGGAGCTGACGGGAGGTATGGGAGTCACATTAGGATTATTAATTAGAGAAGTGGAAGAGAGAAATTGGGCAAAAAGTTTTGTGGTTGGCAGTGAGATTTTTTCAATGCACACTATAGTTAAAGCTGTCTGACTAATGTGGAACTTTGAGATTCAGTAATTTATCATGTTTCTGTTGCCATCTTGAATCGTCCGTGAGTTTTGAGAACATTTGTCCCTTATTGTTGGATCTCACTTTTTATTATTTCTTTCACACATAGACTCAATGGAGGTAAAACCTATAATGACTCGGAAGCTGAGGAGACGACCCAATGACCCGGTCCCAATACCAGACAAACGGAGAAAACCTGCACCAGATATCCTTTTAAATACAGTATCTGATTGGCTACAGTTAGCAGTCACTTTAGATGAATGTGTGAGGTCTTCAGTATTCAGTTTTACTTGTACTTGTAGCATGTCGTGTTCAAAAATGCTTTCCTTAACTCTTCAAACCTCAGCTAAATTATTTGTTAACAGATGATCAGATAATGGAAGATCTAAGAACACTTAATAAGGTTTGTAGTTCTGAACATCTTGATATTTACCATTTCCCGAGTGGATCTTATTTTGTCTAATTCTGTCTTTTTACACTTTTTCTTTTACAGCTTAAATCACCAAAAAGGCCAGGTATGTAAATGCTCACCTTTTGCAGTATTTCATTCGAACTTGTCATGCACAACAAGTTATTTAGTTCATTTAGGGGAATATGCTTACACGTTTTCGAGTTAAATTATGATATCGACATCACTCCCTTGTCTGTACCCAAAATAAGAATTTACAGCAAGCTGTTAGTTTGCTAAAAATAAAGAAAAGTTAGCTTAAAGTAAGACTAAGGGAAACAGCTGGCCTTTTAGACTTTTTAGACTTCTAGGCAAGCCTCCCAGCTAAGAAATAGTCAGTAAAAAAACCTTTCATGTCAGCAAAACGCAGATTAGCATATCATCCATAATTTCTCCAAAATATTGCTTTTACTTGTGCCTTGCGTGGTCAAACTAACCCGGTGTTTCAAACCCTTCAGTGTCTCCCACGACTCCAGAGCACGTCCCCTCCGCCCCCATGGAGAGCCCCTCCCAGCGGTACGAGGCTCGCATCGAGGAGGGGAAACTCTACTACGACAAAAGATGGTGAATTTGTTGAACTGTCATTCTCAAAATCTCTTGTGTTTCGCATTACACTGTGCCATTTCTCACATAGCTAGACTACACCTCCTGTCACCACTAGATGGCCACATTGCCATTGGCGGATTTCTTTGGTTTTCATAAAGAATCAAACAACAACTTTGATGGCATACTTTTTTTCTGGGCAACATAAAGATATTTCTTAGGAACGACTGAATTAATGCTAGTGCTTGAACCATCAAAATACATATTCAGATAAGCACTCTGCTGTGATGCAAAGATGAAAATAATGAAAAATCCTTGACCAGACACCGCTCAGATGTCCTTCTGTTTTAGAGTAGAGCTCCTCCGCATCAGACGTGAACATAAGGTCGTGTGAAGAAGTAATAGAGTTCTGTCTTTATAAGCGGCTGATACAGACCGAGGAAGTTTAAGAGGAGCACGCTGTGAGGTATGCACACTTCTCTTTCAAGGCAAAGTCTGATTTATTCCTCTCTAAAGAAGACGCCGCCACAGGAAAGCCTTCACAAAGAGCCGCAGGGAGAAACATGCGTCATTATTATTCAGTGGGCCCTTAATGATCAAGCGTTTTGGTTGTCAGTCTCTTCCCCTGGGTTGGTTTTGTCCTCTGACAGTTTGGAGCCATTAAATGAAAAAAACAAAACAAGACTTTTTGTTTTAACTTTCCCGTCTAATTATCTATTTAGTGCCATCTCAGGAGGATTGTGGTCTATTCAGCTGGGTGAAATTATGTATAATGAACCTCTTTTCTGTCTGCACTTAAGCCTATCCCTCAAATCTCACCTTGAATGCAGAATTAATGGTGTGTGTGTGTGTGTGTGTGTGTGTGTGTGTGTGTGTGTGTGTGTGTGTGTGTGTGTGTGTGTGTGTGTGTGTGTGTGTGTGTGTGTGTGTGTGTGTGTGTGTGTGTGTAATATGCTGACAGGTACCACAAGAGCCAGGCCATCTACCTGGAGTCCAAGGACAACACAAAGATTAGCTGTGTCATCAGCTCAGTGGGGACCAACGAGGTGGGCTTTAGTCTTCATTTGGCTCCTTTTGCACATGTAACTTATTCTCATATCACTGCTTATAACATGGGGCACATGATATCATATATTTTCTGGGGAGTCAACAATTATGAATTTCTGGGCTGTTTTGTTTTTGGGGGGGTTGTTACTTATTTGGTTTCCCTAAGTATTTGCGTTGCCATTCAATACATCATCTGACTAAGCACCAATTCAATCAAAGAAATTAATGAAACTACTATTAATATAGCCTTCTTTTAAATTATAAATGTTTTTTAACTACTTCCAAAGCCCCTTTATCCTGCTATGCAACTAACTAACTAACTGACTAAAGATACTGTGGGTATTTCTGCCATGGAAGCAGCTCCGATTGTTTCTCTTCTCATCCAAAAACCGAGGAAAACGTAGGTGATTATCTCTACAATATCTGAGTGCACTCGCATTTGCAAAGGAAATGTTTCTTACAAACTGTTTGTCACCAATATTTCTTGCTCCCACACGGCTGCATTTTCTTACATTTTTAATGGTAAGCAAACCACAATTTTGTTCAGAGGCGTGTTCAGCCAGTGCCCTCTTTTTCGAATCAGTCGGTTAAAGCAGCTGCTCTCAAAGTGCAAAATGACATTTAGCAAGCGCAAAATGTACACAACACATAAACATTGGCTTCTGCCATCAATGAAAGTCATCTTACTTGCTGTCAGTATGGCACATTTGAAAGGGACCCTATTAAGATCTTTGGGGTTCTCCCTTTGCTATAGTGTGTTGTACAGGCATGTAAATGGTCTGCAAGGTTAAAATCCTGAAGTTCGATTAGTGACATCACTATGTAGCACTCGCGCTTCTATTGGCTAAAGCTCAAACACATTGTACGAGATAGGTGAAGGGGCGGGGAATCTCTAAGCTGTTGACCTATAATAACAGAGCCGGCTAGCTAACCAATCAGAGCAGACTGGGCGAGAAAAGAGGTGCTGCAGCACAGACAGTAGGAGAAAAATAAAGACCTTTTTGAACATTAAAGCATGGAAACATGTCACAGAAGATGCTTAAAATACAAATATGAACCTTAAAAAATGTGCATAATAGGGCCCCTTTTAAAATGACTGCATCCCTAACATTTTCCTGATTGTTAACAAATCCCATGAATGTATACTAACAACTAAATGTTGTCTGTGTAGCCAAACAATATATATTTAATTCTTCCGTGCCATAGTGCGTGCAAAACTGTTGCATGGGTACATGTTCCCTCATTATTATGAACACTCACACAAGTGTATTTGGACTAAATCCTATCCTGCTGCAGCAAATACTCACCAGAGCCCCAAATGTCTATAAATAGTCAACAAAATTCTCTATTGAATCCTTGTTGAGTCACATTTGTCATTGTTAGTTTTGGGGATTTCTATGGAAGGGGGTAGACAATAATAACAGCAAGACATACCGACCACAGATTTATTTGGCCAATGTTTGACTAGTCACACTTCTAATCCCCCACTCGAATCAACACAAGAAAGAAAGAAAAACCACTGAAAAGAAATTGCATGTTTCTGAGGACCATTCTGATATTTATTTAATCTCGTATTTTTCATGGATGTGGTTTATATTGACAGCTGCTTTGCAACTAATTTATTTCTTCATGACTGCATTGAGACATTTTCTCTCCTTTGTTTTCCAGATATGGGTGAGGAAGACGAGCGACAGTACAAAGATGAGGATCTACCTGGGTCAGCTGCAGAGGGGAGCGTTTATCATCCGTCGACGGTCGGCTGCATGAAACATCGCCCCGCCTCTCCCCATCTGTCCATTTATCCATCCATCCATCCACCCGCCTTCCTTAATGGTGCATCTCAGTTTGACTTATTATTCATCATAGACACTACCCCCTTATGACACAAACATACACACACAGTCTTCTGTGATCAAGAACAATTGCATCTGTTTCCTACAACCAAATGACAGTACAGTTAAAGTTGTCATAACTGACTGCTTTCCAGCATTATTTGTCACTATGTGGCATGTGTGTGAAGTGGTCATAACAGAGCCTGCTTTATTTCTGTCTCATGCTGTCAATACAAATGTTTTTTTAAAACACACATTGTCATTTACCTTTTTATATATAAGTTATTTTTCCATATGTTGTTGGTCAAGTGGCCCCGCAGAAACTGTCTCCAAGCTTTTAAAACTCTCTAATGTGATCCTACACCAGGAGTCATGCCATTTACAAAAGAATATGTCTTTTGCACTGTCATCAAAAAAAACGGCATCTTGCTATGCTGATGTTTTTTTCCCTAATAACTTGTTCAAAAGCCCAATGTATTAAAACCCCAAATTTCTTATTTGAAAATGTATTTTAAGGATATTCTGTTATTTCTTTGCCATTGTATGCGACCTCCTCCATATGTGAACCATCTGGAAAAGTTCAGCTGTATTTGCATGTGGAGCGCTACGTTGACTGCTGATTTCTACTGTGTTCCATTTTATTAAAATGTTTTCTGCATTTTATTAATTTAATTAAAGATTTGTTGCTTTTTTAAATCTTGAAATATGCAGGAACAGGTTTGCTGGCTTTAAGTCAGTCATGGTAATCAACATTTTACTGTTTACTAGATATTACGTGTGTCGTTCAGTGCTGAGAAGCAAACATTGGGTTTCTAATGCTTTTTTGCTGAAGGGAGTTTGGAAAAAAATAGTTAAAACATTAGAGGGACATTCAAAATGAATTTTTGCTATCTGAAGTGCTTACTAACACAGAAACTACAAAATAAGTTTTTTCATCAGATTCCATCGGAAAACATGATTTTCAACAAGCTACTGGTACAGATTTGGCTCACCTTATGACATAGGCTCATTCGAATATACCGCTCTCCATCTTGGTATCTAATGACTTTAGATTTCTATGAAGTGCTTCTACAGGTGCTCAAAGATAAAGTATATCAAACTCACAACATTGAACACTAAAAAGGAGTTTTTATCAATGTTTTGAAGGGAGGTGAGTAGTTTTTATTTCATTTGGGAGTGAGTTCCAGAGGGAGTGGGCAGCAATAGAGATCATTGATGATTAAACCTAATATGTATGAACTTAAAATGTGCCCTTAAAGCTGTGGTCAAACACTGGTTGTAATTCTCTGATGTTTATTATGAGCAATCTGCTTCCTATAGAAGTGATTCTGTGATGATCAAAACATTGATAATTAGGTGCTTTAAATGAGCAAAGATCTGTATATTAAAAAAACCTTTCCAGAAAAGCAAACAGTTCCACAATGTTATCATTGCATGCTCATTGTAAAGCTTTAACACTTATGGTTATATCCTAAAACCTATTAACATCGACAGCAGGGTAAACCAGGATATATTTCACACTGATGGTTCATATAAGCTGTGAGGAATATTTTTCCACAATACATTGATTTGCCAGTCTCCATATAATCAACCTGACCAAGTCACCTCACAGCTCCACTCCACTCTCACAGCTGCTCTCCTCCACCCCTCCACTTTGTAAACATCTGAATCATTTGGCATTCAGCGCAGGTTTCTCCCTGCCGGCTGTGCAGCCTGCTTTTTTCCTCTTGTGTGTCCTATCGCTTTTACCGGATGGCATGTTTCACTTCCCCTGACTTAATGACACTGCCTGACAAGGAGGGCAATTACTGTGTTGCCATGCCGCACAAACAACAAGGCTCATCTCAAAAGGCTTGTTGTCCAAAAGCCGTCAGGTGTGATTGCTCAGTCTCTTGCGGTGGCATGAAATGAGCTGATAGTGAATGCAATGGCCGTCTGCTCCCTTTGTTACATCCCATGTCTGGCTTTTAGTTACGGCTAGAATAACTCACACAGGCATTTATTGGTAGGTTTACAGGGTTTGGATTTCTTGTGAGATGTTTGGCAGTCATCTTGATCTGAAGGGGGGGGTGGCACAGGCCCCTCTGATTGCACATCCTTCCAGACACAGAAGGTGATAGCTTGTTGCCTTCATGGATGGATTACGAAACCAACCTTCCAGGACCAGTAACAAAAAATGACAAAGCACAAAGAAGACAAAAGAGATGATTTATGAAAGGCAAAAAGGAATGCAGATGCTTTCGTTTGTGGTCCTTTTTTATGTGTCAATGTGAACAGAATCTGAATCATAGGAAGTCGTTTTACTTGTTTACAAGGAAATTCTGAAGGCCTAGCTCTATGAAGTTTAAAAAAGAGAAACAACTAAATAAAAGTAATGGTGAAAACAGCTATAAAAACAGTAATAGCATCAAAGAGAATACAAAAATAGAAGGCACTAGTTACATTGAATTTACACATTTTACACAAGTTACAGAATGTGCAAGTAGTACAAACATTTTGTCCTCATTTGTCTGTCATGCTACTTGGAGCCACAAATAAAAGCAAATTATTGTTAAATAAATAAGAATGTATTTATTTGGCCTTCACTTATTACACCGAATACACAGTGTAACTTTAAATTATGTACATTTTTATTTTCGCGACAAACCCAAGCTCAAATTAGCTAATTTTACATTTTAAATGAGAATTTAATCCCCGTCTCTTATCTCCCTTATTTGAACGTGCCTCATCAGGATAATTTCCTGCCAGTATCTCACCACAAATAGGGAAGAATGTTGGTAGTTGCCTGTTTTTTTATGTTTACCTGAATGGGTCTACTCCCACTTTCCAACACATACAGACAACACACATTTAGGTGAAGTGTCAATTATCCATTTCACTGTCTTGTAATTTTCACATGTAGCAGCAGCTCTGGTTCTCCCCTCTCCACATGCCCGCCTTTCAAGCGATCCATTTCTTGCTCGTTGATTGTATCAGTCCTCTGCTTTCTCTGCAGGTTGCTGTTAATACTATCTTAAATCAATATGCTGAGTAAGCAAAGGAACGAGTGGGAGCACTTGAGCATGTTGACAGCTCTCTGGTGATGAGTCCGTTTTTTCCTTTCTTTCTCAGGCACCATGTCTGTTTACCAGAGTGTGTAAAACACCTGCTGATGTTCACCATGCGGAAAACAAAAGCAAGCTCTGCAGCCTTCTGTAACCACGAGTCATTACAGCGCTCTGGCTGGCTATTGGTGTGCTGGTAAGTCTCACTGGAGCTGTTATTCTCTTTGGTGGTTATTGCTTGTGTGCATAAAAAGTCACCCAGGGCATCAATAATAAAAAAAACAAATCCCCCTCGCAATCTCCCACCAGTTCCAGCACCAAATTCCCTCTTTCATCCTCTTTCCCCTAAATTGAGAATTCTCCTCACTGCATGTTAGCACTTCGAAAGCATAGCTACAGGGCAGAGAGCTGCATCTCGCTCTGCGCTATCTGCTGAGAACCGAGTGGGATCCAGGCACACTCAGATTTGCCTCTGGTGGTCTGAAGAAAGGATCGTAGCTCCTTGACAACCCTACCAGGCCGTGTGTTAAATGTGAATGTGGGTGTGTAGTTTATCACTCTGCTGCAGGTCTGCACTGGGAGAGGAATTCATTTACAGTACAAGCTCCTCATCTGACTCTTGATATTTGACCCAGGGGTTATAGAATAGTCGCAGCCTCATTGGACCATTTGGCAATATTGATCATTTGAAACATTCATGTGGTTATCCAGCTCCTGCTCATTACAAAACCAGGCCGTGGTATGAGTTATTTATACGCTCTGCGCTATTCTGTTTAGCTGCTCTTTTGATGTTACATGCTAAGAAAGCAAAACACAAGGCAGAACAATGCTAAGTAAATCATCCATCTTGTAGGCCAGTGTGCTAGCTTCTGAAGATTGGTATACTGTATTATTGAGAAATCCCACTTTTAAAGGGGTCAATTGACAGGGGCAAACGCACTATGGTGGGCAAAAACATCAGGAGAAATGAGGAGAAACGCGCTGCACTTTCAAAAGCAATGCAAATGTAAAAACATAAATGTGCCAAAACACATGCAAATGGGAAAAAATCTTCACCAACTTCATAATATGGTTTACTAAAAGTACTAGATAAATGAAACGCTGCAAATAAAAAAATGCTGCAAGAAGCTCAAAACACAACGCAAACAGGGAAAGTTAAAACTGACACAGCTGTGACCAGATCGCTTGCTGACGTTCAGGAATTATAAAGTTGGCAAACTGTTACTGTCGCTGGAAATGTACCCAAAATGTAAGTTTTATTGGCTAATTTTAACAATGTGGTCAGATGATTCCGTTAGAAATGATTGCATATCTGCTGTAAGCTAGTTAGCTAACTTAGCGATGCAAATGTTCTGACAAAACACTTACAATTATGAAACACACTAACTTTGCGAGACTGACAGTTGGCCAAGTTTAAAATCCCCTAACATCAACAAGCGTTCCGTTCCTAGTGCAGCGTGTTTCTCCTAACGTAAGTGTTTTGGGCCATTGTAGTTCAGTCAGCCACCGTACACTTTGAATGGACCGAATTAAACCAAACTATTCAAGAAAACTTTAGAAACATTTACAATCTTATGCTAGGAGAGCATTTCAGTTTTGTTGTTGGAAGAATGGATTTGGTCTGTGATTACTTTATTAAAACTATTCTGCTCACCAATTAGAGCCAGGAAAAGTTAAGCTTATGTAAATACAACTTCTGTGTGTTTGTGTCTTGTGATTCTCTTTCTCAGCAGCACTATTGCTAATTCAAAGAGAACTACCTAATGATGATGGTCTCTTTTAAAGAAAGGCTATGTTTAGCACTCTTAGCACTTGAAGCGTGTCACAACCTTTCCCGCAGTTTTAAGTGATGCAGCGCTATCACAGCTCCCTGTTACATTTCAAATGCTGAAAATTCAAAAGATCCCCACATCCTTAAATAAAGCCTAATTTCATCAACTTACATCATAAGGGTGATAACTTCATTGTACAATATAAAAAGTTGACTGGTATTTTGCGAGAAATTTGAGATTGAGAGAATACCCATTTATTTATTTTTGTAAATGCATGATTAATCTAGGTCTTTCTCTGAGCTTTCTTCACTATTACCACTGCAATTTTATTTTATGGTACAATTATGCAAGTATACCCAGAATTCGACTGATGAAACATCAATACATCAGACTCAACAATCCCCTCACAACTTGGGACCTGTCCTGCCTTAGATCACGATAAAGTGCCTAAAAGATTATGTTGCATCTCTTACATTCTGTGGCCTCTGTTCACCTCTCTAGTCATCTACCTACTGGCTGTTGAAGTTAGTCATGTCCTGTTCTTCTATCATATTGCATATAATCCAGCCTTGGATGATCACAGGTTGTGACAGTGCTGGGTTAGTATGACTATGTCCTTGACATACAGAACAGATGATTTGTAAGAGGAATGGCAAAGTAATGGAAGGCAATTTCGAAGCAAAATCCCCAAGAGGGTGTTTTTCACTTTCATTATAGGCACTAGTGCTGGGACTACTAGCTACAAGGGGTGTTTCTCAATGTCGAGTAAAGCTGCTCCAGAGCCACTATTTAGAGCATGCTACGTCATTGAGTGCCGCAGAAGGACTGTTCCAATGTCCAGCATACTTGGAATTCTACCGAGCCCGGCGTACTTATAGCGAGATATTTAGAGGCTGCACATGTGTAGACTCCGCGGTCTTAAAATTTCCACAATGCTTTGCGCACGGACCAATTTCCCCAAATCTGTAGCGAAAAATGTAAGGCGGGGCCTCTCATATAACGCACACCTGAACACTTGCTCGCCTGTTCCACTCTTCGTTTTCCGAATGCCAGGAAGTATTCTTGCCTCGCTTCTGAAGCAAGTGACTCGGAAGAAATGTGCTACTAAGCAAGCATACTCGACATTGAGAAACACCCAAGGTGTAGACAAGTGCCGGAGTGGCCATTATCACTTTAAAGAACAC